TTTTTTTTAATTATGATTAAGTTGCAAAGATCCAAAGAATTTGAAATGAAAAAAAAACATCCACATAGACTGTCATTTATAGTTTTTACAAAAAATTTAGATTTTAAAAGTGATTTTAATTGTTCACAGTTGTGCCACAATAGTTTGTGTGTTAACGAAGATCACATTAGTTTGGAGTGTCATTTTATTAATAATAATATTCTATTATGGCCCTTTCCCAATTGAACTGTTCTCTTATAGTGTTGTCTGGGGTGGTAAAGTGCCTGAGCCATTAGGCGAGGGCACTATACCTCCCCAGACAACACTATAAGAGAACTGTTCCCGAGGGAAAGGGTCATAATAGATTTAGTACATCACATGACTGTCATTTGACAATAAAAAGACAAACATGATGAACTTCATTGATAAAATATTTGATAATTAACAACTGCTGGAAATTTGAACGGTAACATTTGCAGTTTTGATTCATGAGTTGTTGTTAAATTACTAAATTTGAAAGAATGTGCACAAACAATGGAATGTCGAAATCTCTGCCACATGATGGTTCCTGTAAATGCGGCCGCAAAACTTGCCAGATGGTACGTATTAAGAAAACTTTTTGAGTAGATCTCTCCTTTTTTGTTGCGTATATTGGCATAGAAATCCACCAAAACACCGTTCAATTCACTGGATTGATTCACCGCTAGGTCACATACGGCTCCCCTTTCAAGTAGGAAGTCTTTCAGGACTGCGACGGCAAATTGTGTCGCCTGCTTCGTCTTCATGCATTGCTGAGTCTCTGCGAAGCAATCGGCATTCCCGGTCCCAAATCTTTAAACCATTTTGGCAGATGACAACAATGAAGTGAAAGTAGAATATGTTCAGCGCTCCTAGGAGAAGGGGCGCAACTCTTAGCGTCATGCTACTTTTCCCGCAGTCGCAGCGGTCCAAAAAAAAGGTATAGTGCCCGTCTCCAGGTATAGTTCCTGCTGTCAAGGGCGGATGCTAACAATACAAAATAGAACAAGGGTATAGTTATTCAATGGCTATCCTAGAAATTATCATGTGATGTACTAACAGGCAATATTGTCTAAGTTTAAATTTATGCTATAGTCATATATAGGTTTAAGAAACCTTAAGTTGGAATTCCAATTGGCTTAATTTAAAACAACAACAAACAACTATTTTTTGAGGGTATTAGCTATTGCATACACAGATACAATGTGGTCCGACTACCACCACATGGCGGCTCCATCTTCAGGTAGTCATATATATGTAAATTCTCTTGATGTGCTACATATTTCCTGAATTTTGAATTTTGTCATAGATTTCAAAAATGGTCTTTAATAAAATGGCATTTCTCTTCTTCGTCTCAATACAGGTGATCTAGAGGCTGATTGTCTGCCTTGGGTTGATGCAGTGTTGAATCTAGCGGACTTTTCCTTAGTCAGACTTCCTGGCAAACTTTGACTTCTCTGCATGCTCCCTGTGCTGTTCCACCAACAAGTCGAGTTTCCTCTTCTTGATGTCAGGTTTGTATTGAAGCTGGCGCTGATAAAGAGATCTTGACTGGTCAGCTGATCTGTGATGCCGTTCACCAAAAAGTTCCAAATTGCTAACAGTTTAAGGAGAAAAATTACTTTACAAAATCAAAAGAGTTTGAGTACTATAATAGGACTGAGGTGACAATTAAATGCTTCCGGGCTCAGTACCCATGAATGAAGTTCTCTTAGAACTTGGTAGTGGTGTTGGTGTTGAAATACTCTAGAGATAACAATCTCACAACTTTTGAATCAATGACATGTATTAATATTTTGCATGTATTTTTTTTGGTGCAGGGTGCTGTGTGAAGAGTCCTGTGTTTACCTCTATCTCTGACCTGGAAGTTTATATTTGACGTTGGTGACACTTGCAGACCATTATCTCCAGAAAAAGGCCAACATGCTGTTATTGAAATTTTTACATTTTGCTCCAAAGGTGTTGCTCTTGACCAGGTAAGATGGAAAGTTGGCTATTAAATATTGGGATTTTTTTTATGAATTTAAATGTTACAATGAAACAAATAGTAAATTTAATTGTTGTCTCAGTCCTTAGTCCTATTTTTACTAGAACATTGTTTGGAGCAGTATATATATATATATAGTTAGAAATAGAGAATTGTCTCCCTTAGATTGTAAGCTGTAAGAAGCTTTTCTGAAGTTTTTAACTTTGAGTCAATTGATGACCACTGTTTTGAATTTGTATCGTTTGTCTTGTGTTATTCTGTTAAAATTAAAAAGAAAATATTTGAATGATAAAAAATGTACATTGTGATGTGAAAATAGTCTGGTATAGCTAATGTAAAAGAGTGTAATTAAAAAAAAACCTTCAGCAAATATTTTGCAATGAAGTTGACTTTGAGATTTTATATACATTTTTACAATGCCTGTAACATTAATTTTGCCACACAGAGTCATTCATTTGTTAGTTTCTGTCAATGAAATTTCCTACCTTTTCATATTGGCACATTGGTCTATCGGCCGTTATAGAGCAAATATGGACAGAGTGTATATGTATGTATCCTTGGAAATATTGGTGATGGTCAAGGTCAGGTGGAGGTTTATCTCTGTAAATGTTTACATGTTGAAAACTCATTTTGTGTTTTAAATTTTGCTATCACAGACATTATTGTCCTATTTACATAAGTTAAATAACTTTAAGGATCTCTGCACCACTGTCCAAAATTTTAAATTGTTTCTTTGTGTCCTATAAAGATTATTCTCTCGTTAAATAACTTTAAGGATCTCTGTACAAGTAAATTGTTTTTGGTGTCAGTATATACATATATTCTCTATTCAAATAACTTTAAGGATCCCTGCACCATTGCTTAATATTAAAACAAAAAAAGTTGTGTCCTATTTACATTTATCTCTTGTTAAATATCTCTAAGCATCCCTCTACCACATAAAAAATTGAATTGGATTTTTCTATCTGCCATGACTATAGCTTTAATATATCATTTCTGTAAAGAAACCATACCAAATTCAAAAACATTTACAAAAACATTCTAAAGATGAATTAATAAAAGTTATCAACAACTCAATTTTTAGAGTGAAAAATCAATTAGGCCAGACCGGGATTCAAACCCTGAACCTCTGATTATTATACTATCACTTTACCAACAGAGCTACCTGGCCAACTTTAGTACCTTGGTCGAGTCTCTATACTTACATGTATCACTTTACCAACAGATCTACCTGGCCAACTTTAGTACCCTGGCCGAGTCTCTATTTTTACATGTATCACTTTACCAACAGAGCTACCTGACCAACTTTAGTACCTTGGTCGAGTCTCTATACTTACATGTATCACTTTACCAAAAGATCTACCTGGCCCACTTTAGTACCCTGGCCGAGTCTCTATACTTACATGTATCACTTTACCGTGAACAGAGCTACCTGGTCAACTTTAGTACCCTGGCCGAGTCTCTATACTTACATGTATCACTTTACCGTGAACAGAGCTACCTGGTCAACTTTAGTACCCTGGCCAAGTCTCTATACTTACATGTATCACTTTACCGTCAACAGAGCTACCTGGTCAACTTTAGTACTCTGGCCAAGTCTCTATACTTACATGTATCACTTTACCGACAGAGCTACCTGGTCAACTTTAGTACCCCGGTCGAGTCTCTATACTAACATGTATCACTTTACCAACAGAGCTACCGAGTCAACTTTAGTACCCTGGCCAAGTCTCTATACTTACATGTATCACTTTACCGACAGAGCTACCTGGTCAACTTTAGTACCCCGGTCGAGTCTCTATACTAACATGTATCACTTTACCAACAGAGCTACCTGACCAACTTTAGTACCCTGGCCGAGTCTCTATTTTTACATGTATCACTTTACCAACAGAGCTACCGAGTCAACTTTAGTACCCTGGCCAAGTCTCTATACTTACATGTATCACTTTACCGTGAACAGAGCTACCTGGTCAACTTTAGTACCCTGGCCAAGTCTCTATACTTACATGTATCACTTTACCGTCAACAGAGCTACCTGGTCAACTTTAGTACTCTGGCCAAGTCTCTATACTTACATGTATCACTTTACCGTGAACAGAGCTTCCTGGTCAACTTTAGTACCCTGGTCGAGTGTCTATACTTACATGTATCACTTTACCAACGGAGCTAGCTGGTCAACTTTAGTACCCCGGCCGAGTCTCTATACTTACATGTATCACTTTCCCGTGAACAGAGCTACCTGGTCAACTTTAGTAGCCTGGTCGAGTCTCTATACTTACATGTATCGCTTTACCAACAGAGCTAGCTGGTCAACTTTAGTACCCTGACGGAGTCTCTATACTTACATGTATCACTTTACAAACAGAGCTACCTGGTCAACTTTAGTACTCTGGCCAAGTCTCTATACTTACATGTATCACTTTACCGACAGAGCTACCTGGTCAACTTTAGTACCCTGGGCGAGTCTCTATACTTACATGTATCACTTTACCGACAGAGCTACCTGGTCAACTTTAGTACCCTGGGCGAGTCTCTATACTTACATGTATCACTTTACCGACAGAGCTACCTGGTCAACTTTAGTACCCTGGGCGAGTCTCTATACTTACATGTATCACTTTCCCGTGAACAGAGCTACCTGGTCAACTTTAGTACCCTGGGCGAGTCTCTATACTTACATGTATCACTTTACAAACAGAGCTACCTGGTCAACTTTAGTACTCTGGCCAAGTCTCTATACTTACATGTATCACTTTACCGTGAACAGAGCTACCTGATCAACTTTAGTACCCTGGCCGAGTCTCTATTCTTACATGTATCACTTTACCAACAGAGCTACCGAGTCAACTTTAGTACCCTGGCCAAGTCTCTATACTTACATGTATCACTTTACCGTGAACAGAGCTTCCTGGTCAACTTTAGTACCCTGGCCGAGTCTCGATACTTACATGTATCACTTTACCAACAGAGCCACCTGACCAACTTTAGTACCCTAGCCAAGCCTTGTTCCTTGCATGTATCACTTTACCAACAGAGCTACCTGGTCAACTTTAGTACCCCGGCCGAGTCTCTATACTTACATGTATCGCTTTACCAACAGAGCTAGCTGGTCAACTTTAGTACCCTGACGGAGTCTCTATACTTACATGTATCACTTTACCGACAGAGCTACCTGGTCAACTTTAGTACCCTGGCCGAGTCTCGATACTTACATGTATCACTTTACCAACAGAGCCACCTGACCAACTTTAGTACCCTAGCCAAGCCTTGTTCCTTGCATGTATCACTTTACCAACAGAGCTACCTGGCCAACTTGAGTACCTTGGTCGAGTCTCTATACTTACATGTATCACTTTCCCAACAGAGCTACCTGACCAACTTTAGTACCCTGGCTGAGTCTCTATACTTACATGTATCACTTTACCGACAGAGCTACCTGGTCAACTTTAGTACCCCGGTCGAGTCTCTATACTAACATGTATCACTTTACCAACAGAGCTACCGAGTCACTCTATACTTACATGTATCACTTTACTAACATAGCTACCTGGCGAATTTTAGTACCCTGGCCGAGTCTCTATACTTACATTTATCACTTTACCAACAGAGCTACCTGACCAACTTTAGTACCCTAGCCAAGTCTCTATACTTGCATGTATCACTTTACCAACAGAGCTACCTGGTCAACTTTAGTACCCTGGTCGAGTCTCTATACTTTTACCAACAGAGCTACCTGATCAACTTTAGTACCCTAGCCAAGTCTCTATACTTACATGTATCCCTTTACCGACAGAGCTACCTGGTCAACGTTAGTACCCTGGTCGAGTCTCTATACTTACATGTATCACTTTACCAACATAGCTAAATGTACCTGGCCAACTTTAGTACCCTGGTCGAGTCTCTATACTTACATGTATCACTTTACCAACAGATCTACCTGGCCAACTTTAGTACCCTGGCCGAGTCTCAATACTTACATGTATCACTTTACCGACAGAGCTACCTGGTCAACTTTAGTACCCTGGCCGAGTCTCTATACTAACATGTATCACTTTACCAACAGAGCTACCTGGTCAACTTTAGTACCCCGGCCGAGTCTCTATACTTACATGTATCACTTTACCGACAGAGCTACCTGACCAACTTTAGTACCCTAGCCAAGTCTCTATACTTGCATGTATCACTTAACCAACAGAGCTACCTGGTCAACATTAGTACCCTGGCCGAGTCTCTATACTTACATGTATCACTTTAACGACAGAGCTACCTGACCAACTTTAGTACCCTAGCCAAGTCTCTGTATCACTTTACCAACATAGCTAAATGTACCTGGCCAACTTTAGGACCTTTGCCTAGTCTCTATACTTATATGTATCACTTTACCAACACAGCTACCTGGTCAACTTTAGTCCCCTGGTCGAGTCTCTATTCTTGCATGTATCACTGTACCGACAGCGCTACCTGGTCAACTTTAGTGCCCTGGCCGAGTCTCTAGAAATACATGAATCACTTTACCGACAGAGCTACCTGGTCAACTTTAGTACCCTGGCCAAGTCTCTATATTTACTTGTAAATCCAAATGCAAATAAAGGGAAGTTGTATCTATAAAAAAACTACAGTGAAATTTTCTCAAAAGTGTTTTGCCTGCTGTGTGTAAAGGGTCCATAAAATCATTTACCTTTAACCTCAATATTAATTCAGGTAGTAAGCAGTAAACCCAAAGTGTTTAGAAATACGTATTCGGAAACAGCTGTTTGGTGTTATATTTGTTCATGGATAAGATCATTCTTATATCATTCTCTGTGTTACAAGATTCTATAATTACCTTCCAGAACAACACCGTACCCAGACAGAATGGGAAGATGGCTTCACATTTAAGATGTTCCTGTTCCAGTTTGTCAACTACTTTTCCTCCATCTTCTATATTGCATTCTTCAAGGGCAAGTAAGTATTACAACATAGATACTCTCTACTTGGTCCTTGAAGTCAGGAAATGTTGAGGCCCTGCAGGCGATAGGGCATTAGAATTGTACCTGCAGCCTAGTACTACAATGACAGCCTCAATACAGAGGTGAAAGTCATATGGTATAGCTAGGTCACAAACTAGATAGTAACAAAGGTCACAGCCTCCTTACAGAGGTCACTGTCTTGGTATACAGGTCAAATCTTTGGTACAGGAGGTCAGTCTTTCTAAACAGAGGTCACATCAGCATATTTAGCAAGTTTACTAGTTGAATTGTTTAATTTAAAGGGCCAAAATCAGGAGTCTCCTTCCGAAATAGGGAGAGTTGACAAGCACGCCAATTAGTTGTGTGAAAAATTCATTATCACAAATTGTCAGTATGAGAAACTTGAGAAGAGGTTGAGAACAGATTGAGAACGATTTGTGAATTGATTTTCTCATTTGATAATAATAATAATAATAATGATATACAACATTTATATAGCGGCCTATATAGTTATGCCCCTGCCATAAAATGTGTGTGTGGGGGGGAGGGCATATAGTGTTGCCCATGTCCGTCCCGTCCCGTCCCGATTCAATGTAAACACATAGCAACTTCAATCTTTAATTGACAGATGATTTTGGTCAAACTTTATACAAAGGTCAAGTATGAGTATACTTCGGACATCGTTGTGTTTCAGGGATCCAAGGTCAAGGCCAAGGTCACAGTTGCTATATATAGAAAATCATCAACTAATTCAATTAAACACTTAGCAACTTCATTCTTTCATTGATTTTGGTCAAACTTTATGCAAAGGTCAAGTATGAGTATACTTCGGACATTGTTGTGTTTCAGAGTACCAAGGTCAAGGCCAAGGTCACTGTTGCTACAGTTGTGGGATCGCACAACGTTACACGGTGTGTGAACGATGTGTGCACGGTGTGCGCATGTTTGAAATCTGGACGATTATTGCTTGTGCACATTTGTGCGGACGATGGACGAACGTAAATGTGCGATAACAATCGTGGTTGGTGTTAATTGAGGAATGCCTTAACAATATATACGGTTTCGTGTTTAAACATATACTCTTGATTTTTACGTATGTTTCTATATTCTACCTACATCTTTAAGCTTATCTTTATGTCTATAGTTTCTTAAATTTAGAAATTGTATTTTCGGTATTTTTTAAACGACCTTAATCGACACATGTGAAATCACAACACCGTCCCGTATACAGGTAATCATAACCACTTTGTACATGTACCTGCATGGGCCGTAGTTTTCCCCTGCCTGGGACGCTTACGTATTTCGTCGGGTAGGGCAAGGGGTGTGAAAACACAGGCAAAGGGGTGCTTTAGGCAAACCGAATGCAAATAACAAATACTAAACGTCCAGTTGTGATACGAAATCATATATCGGCTCTCTATGTCAGGCACAGGGCGCCATGTACAACTCTGGTCACTCATCAAATTGTTATTTAACTATTCTGTTACCTTGGAGCAAAACCCATTCTTGACAGTCTAACGGTCACTGTAATGCTGTGTTACATTTGTACAGGCATTGTAAAACTGTACATAATTTTCATTACTGTGATGAGAACTTACAGTAATACATACAATTTCATTATTGCATACAAGCTTTCCATATTGTTTTCATTCCTTAATATTGATCTACAAGTTGTATCCAATCTCACAGTTGTGCAGAAAAAAGCGCACAACAGGGCGAACGATTGTTAAATCGCACAGTTGTACGCACCATGTGTGGACGGTGTTTGAACGATGCATGCACGGTGTTGCGTTTGCTATTTTTGGTGCGTTGTGCGGTCACACAACTGTATATATAGAAAATCATCAACATGATTCAATTTAAACACTTAGCAACTTCATTCTTTCATGGATTTTGGTCAAACGTTATGCAAAGGTCAAATATGAGTATACCTTGGACATTGTTGTGTTTCAGGGTTTCAAGGTTNAAGGTCAAATATGAGTATACCTTGGACATTGTTGTGTTTCAGGGTTCCAAGGGCAAGGCCAGGTCACTATTGCTATATATAGAAAATCATCAACTGATTCAATTTAAACACTTAGCAACTTCATTCTTTCACAGGTTTTGGTCAAACTTTATATAAAGGTCAAGTATGGGTATACCTCAGACATCCTTGTGTTTCAGGATGGTAATTACATACAGAAAAAAACATATGAATATTAAAATCGACTTATCAACTTTAAGTGAAGTACCTTGTGTGTGTGTATGTTTCAGGGTATCAAGATCAAAGTGCACATGGTTGTAACTTTTTATAGAACAGTCTGTAACTAATTGCACATTGTAGCGGGAGCATTTATGTCTTATTTGTAAAATAAAACAACATATGGATAATAGTATTAGTTATAATTGTGAAACAAAACAAAGGCTTACAATCACCTTTATACATTAAATAAGCAGATAATCATCGCAATGTGCACATAAATGAACAAATAAAGGGTGGTATTTACATGACGTCTTTGCAAAGAGCCTAAAATGCAGATGTGAAGAGGAGAGTTTTGATGCCCTTCTTGAATTTGGCCAGGGGATTTGACTTTCTAATAGCAGATGGTAAGCTTTTCCACAACGTGGCCGAAAATCCAGTCTCAAAGCATCGGTTTCTATAGGTCACGATACAAGATTTTGGGACACACAAAAATTATTCTGACTCCGACTGCAGTGATCTTGACGGCTGATACAGGGTAACAAGCTCCTGTAGGTACTGGGGATCAGGCTGGCCCATTCAGTGCCTGTATGTGTACACCAAATTTTGTACTGCGACCTGTGTTGTACAGGTAACCAGTGCAATGAATATAGCACAGCTGTGATGTGCTCTCTCTTTCAGGACGAGTAACCAGCCATGCTGTAGTGTTCTGGACCCTCTGCAGACGACTAGTTACTTTGTCAGATATACCACAGAGAAGGGCGTTACCATAATCCAACCGAGAGGTAACAAGTGAATGCATCAAAATTTTGCAAGCACCTGCAGTTATAAACTGCCGGATACAGCCGATGTTCCTGATCTGGTTGAAAGGATTTGGCATTTAAGAATGTTTAAGATTTTATTTATCACAAATAGCATAACTGCTCGTGCCTGGTAATATTGAATCACAAAAATTATTTAATTAAAAGCGCTCTGAAACAACTCCACTTTAAGTTTCAATATACATATGGAGCAGCAAATGACAAGAATTTGTTTAATTATGTTTCTCCATAGAGTTTTACAGTATTTGTCTGTACAAAACTTATATTTGTTAACATTTGTCCCTCACCAAGAATCTCGGCAATCACTAGAAGTTGGTTAGAAGATATTGTACTGGGTTGCTTTCACTTAAAGATTGGTGAAAGTTTCAGGTTTTATAGATGATAAACAGTTGATCACATAATGCATTATCAAGGTTTGTTGTGTGAACAATTTTCTCATCGCTCACATGTAGATAAAATTTCAACTCCATGGATAGCCTTGATTACTTTTCAAAAATCCATGAAAAAGAGTTCAAACAACAAACCCTGAAAATACAGTGTGATAATCTATAACTATCCAATATCTGTCACACTTAAGCTTTCATATCCTTCACAGAAAACTGATGGCGTCGTTTAGTCTCGGTCGGTAGCGAAGGACCCCAACGAGGAGAAAGTGTACTTGAGGTGGGAACAGGACTTTCATCTGGCCAACATACCCAACCTTGGGCTATATGATGAAGATCTTGAAATGGGTAAACATACACATTGTATTTTAATGTCTTTTTTAAGTTCAGTTGATAAAAAAAGTAAATAAAGGATAAATGAAACATAATCACATTCTGGGCCTGGCATTTTGCTTCTTGTAATGGATAATTATAATATATTTTTAATTTTCTGTTATTGATGAGTGCCTATACTACCAGATGGGATTTGATGTTTAAACCTGTCTGTCTGTCTGTCTGTCTGTCTGTCCGTCCCTTTGTCTGGGGGCGTATTTCACATACAGTCTATCACCTACAATTGCAAAATTTTGTATGTGAGTACATCTTAGGATGGCAGAATGTCACTTGATAAAATTGGGTTTTGTGCTCCTCTATATAGAATTATCTCCTTTGGTTTATTTTTCATGCCAATGATTGTCTAAACATTTGGGGATTATGGATTCCTCACAAAACTTTGTTTTCAGTTTCTTGTAGACTTTTAAGTTAAATCTTCAAGTTTGAGGACAAAAGGGGAAAATAGCAAGAGTTTTGAACAAATTCAGAAAACATTCAGAAAAGGAATTCCTCATATTTTTGGCCAAAATTTGTTGCTGATAATTTTCAAACTCAAGAATGTAACATATAATCATTTAATACTTGTGTATGTTTTTTTAAAGAGCCTATTTAAATATACAGTACAACAATTATTTTTACACGATTCCAAAAGTCCAAAGTTTTGTTTTAATACTTCATGTTTTCTTTTTCAAGGCATATGGTTCGGGATTCTGAGAGGCATATGAGCCATAGCAGTAATGTCTAACGTAAGTACAAATACAGAAGTACCCTCTTGAGTACAATGTTTTTATCTGTCAATGTTGCTCGAAATTGAATTCTAGCGAACTTGTTCTGATAGGGACAAATTGTGAAATATAAACCTTATAAAATTAAACAACTATATAGGTATGTTTATCTGTAAACAGATTACTGAAACTTAGCTCTAATGGAAAGTCATGTCTTTGGGTATCTTTAAGTTAATAATTGTTCTATATGAACAGAAACAAGAGTGTACCAGATGACCCCAAGTTTGATATCTTTTGAAGTGTGACCTACTACAGATAAGAAAAATGGGCTGTATATGTTTGCCCCCATTCCTGAAACCTATACTGAAACACTGGATACATGTTTACATTTATTTACCCCTTGACATTTGTTTCATATTTACAGAACTTGATCGTATTTGCAACCTGGTTGGTGATGTGCCTTGTCCCAGACATGTCAGAATCTGTGCAGCTTCAGATGCTGAGGGAAAATTTCTAAAGCCAAAGAAGCACTAAATTTATACAGCGGAGACAGTATCGAAGGCAAGACGTGGCGATGATAATGCCACCAACGCCACCAGTACGCAATTCTGATGACAGCTACGGGGTTTATCTCCTAAACAAATGATAACTGGAAAAAAGTCTGATACAAAGAGAGGTTTTTGCCCCTGACATCAAAGGCAACTGTTAACTTGTGATTTTTAGAATAATCTGTTGTAATCATAAATACAAATTTTTGAAGGTTTGTGTTTTGCCAGAATCTCAACCTGACAACAAATTTTACATTTGAGTGTGTTTTTCTACGCAACCTTAAAGGGATATTTTTCTTCTTGAACCACGTTTATGACAGACAATGTAGCTTTCTTTTTTTCTTTAGTGTAGCTATTATTCATTTTAAACCAGTACTTTCAGGTTGTAGATATAGTATTAAGTACCGAATTAAAACCAAAGTGTTAGTAGACATTTGATTTAAAACAAATATTGAATCTATTGTTATGAAATTTAGAGACATATACATAATCGTTATTATTGAAGACTGTTAGAAATAGTTTGTTCCTTAAAATCTAAATACATTTATTTTCTCTAAATATAGTATAAATTGTAGTTTTATTCAGTAGGATATTTAATTTATTCTCAATTAATCTTTTATTGTCAATTATTGAAAAAATGTGTACCAAAAATATTCTTTGTTTTTGAAAGAAACTTTTAAATATTGCTATGAAAGTGTTTATTTTCGTTTTAAAATAAAGTCCAACAAGTAAGATGCTAATGAAATCAATTTTATGATTTCCTATTTGTCCTTGTCATGAGCTGCTAAGAACAAATCATTTTATGGCTAGTGAAACTTTTTCGTAGCAATTTTAATTGTGGAATTAAACACTAGATCATTATTATAGTACATTGTTTTCCACTGGATGTTAGTGTCTTATATTTTGTCGGACTTCAACATATTTTGCTAAAATAATCAAGATAATTTTTATTCAATTACATATTTGTTTTTGATATTATGCCTAAATGATAATTTTTCTGTTGGATAGATATTTTAACTCTGATTTAAAAATTAGTTTATATAACTAACTTTCTCTGATACAATCCAACCTTGTTTTTCTTATATGTGAATTATCATGTACAATGTATATATCAGAGACTTCAATTTAAGTTTAAATAATGAAATTATCAAATATTATTGTTCTTATAATTTAGAGTTATGCTATTTCTATGAACATTGGAGTACCACTAATTTTTTTATGACTTTTCCTTCCAAGGAAAAACAGGTTTTTCTGAAAGTTAAAACCGAAGTATTGTTGAAAAAGTTTGAAAGAGTCCAAAAGTAGAAAAAGTTACACAAACAAAAGTATCCAATGATACCATGTTTTTATCACGTTGAACATTTGTCATACACTTATTGTTTCCTGTAAAATATCGGGGAACACGTTTACAAACTGTGTACATGTACATATAACATGTAGTTAGTCGTCTTTTTTCATATTTGTGACTTGGTAAGTTTAATCAAGCAATTTATGACGTTATAAATATATTTTATAATGTACGATATTGTAAAGGCAGAAATCATTTGGATTTTACCATCAGATATAAAATTGTGTTTGATTATCTCCCTTAGATCATATTGGACACATTATGTGTATATAACCTGTAAAATGATTATTTCAGTTGCATGTTATTATGTACAGGTATGTAAATCTATCATCAAATCATGCAAATTCATAGAGAAAGTTTACCGAAAAAGGTCATACATATTCATATCATTGGGTTAATGAAAATAAGAATATGTAATGTGATTTGGTTTGGTTTGGTTTAGTATTGTTTAACGTCCTATCAACAGCTATGGTCATTTAAGGACCGCCTTCCCTGTGTGCAAGATACATGCGTGTAGTGTATGCCTGTGTGTTTTGGGAGGCTGCGATATGTTCCTGTTTGTCTCCTTGAGATAGCGCGGAGCTAATGCCGACTTTATAGTGCTAGCTCACTGAAACATACTGCCGAAGATACCCAGCAGGACACCCCACCTAGTGACATTATACTGACAACGGGCGAACATATCGTCCCACTCCTAAATTGCTGAGCGTTAAGCAGGAGTAGAAACTACCATTTTTACAGACTCTGGTTGTCTTGGCCAGGGGGACAAAACCCAAAGCCTTCCTCACAGGGGCGAACGTTTAACTAAAGGCCAAAAGTGAGGGATTGTCAAAGGAGACATTAGGAAGAAGACAGTTGTTTAGAAAGAAGAGAAAAGATAAGATTCCAAATTAAGCCACCTCTTATGTTCATGCAAGGGGGGCAGTAGGTACAATTCTTACGCCCTGCCTGCAGGGACGATATGTAATATGATGAATTTGTTAATTCATGATGAATATTCAATCTGATGAAGCTGATGTTTTCTTGAAAGTTTGACATTTGGTGAATATTCATAAAATGAAGTCAATATTGGTTCTGAAGAATAAGATAAAACATTTTGTAACCCTTAAAGAAGATGCTGGGAAAATATTTCGTCATCATTATTTTTATAACATTGCTTAATTTTAGTGATTGTTTATTTAGTCCCATTCTATATTCATTCAGATTAAGGGTACTTGTAATTATGTGCATGTTTTGATAATTCTGAAAAAGTAGAGAGACTGAATTTTTCTTCAATATTTGTTAATTTTCCTCAGTTACGTTGATGTATATGGAGCATAATGTTTATTTGTATAGGAATGTGTTAGTGTTGTGACTGAAATTAAATGTAACAGGAACTTGTTACATTCTTGACCGAGATGAAATATGAGATATTGATTTTAATTTCCTGGTTCATACTTACAAAAAGTATGCATACAGAGTGTATAATTAACTCATTTTGAATTTTTTTTCTGTGATGTGTATTTTCAATGTTTCACTTTTGTCTTCAAATGTTTTTTTAATTTCTGAAACATTTCACTTTGGTACTTTAACTTATTGTGAAAGTTTACACAAAATAATGTTTGAAAAATATTGAATTTTAGTGTTGAAAAAGTAAAATACATGTGTGGTGAAAAAAGGATTTAATCTTAAATACATTATAGAAAAATAAACATCATTTCTTTATAACCTTTTGACCACCTGTTGGAGTCTTAATTATAATGATAAAAATCTGGGATGACAAATGCAATTAATCACATCTAGGCTTTCACTAGGAGTCAAAATGAATCAAAACTCACTTTAAACATTATAGTTTATTTGTATTTAGTTGATGTTAAAAATATGTGTGAAGAAAATTTCACACAAAAGATTTTGTTGTTGTTGTTATTTCTATGAATTTCATATCTTTTCTCCATGAAACTGAAAGACAATTTAACCAAAAACAAAAAACAATTCTGTTTTTGTCTCCATATCATAAAAAGCGCATTATTTTACATTTGTTTTTTTTGTTAAAGTATTTAACAGTTATAATTAATAGGCTCAATGGAAATTTGCTGTTTACAAACTCTGCAAGTTGCTATGTTATTTAATTTCTGGTATAAGACCTGAAATATAAAACTCAGTTTGCTTCGAATGTAAGAATTTGATGTTTTACAAAGTGTTATGCTTTCTCCAGCAGTGAAAATTAAATTTTCATTATTGAGAAAATTTTCACATTTCCATTTTAATGTATGAATGCAAACAATAATACCATAATAATTCTAGCTAAAGATACTGTTAACGACATGACAAAATATTATAGGGATTTTGTGTTTTTATGCTCCCCGAAATTTTCGGGGGATCATATATTTGTCGCTATATCCGTCCGACTGTCCGTACTTTTCGTGTCCGGAGCATTACTTTACCCACATTTTAGGGCCCACAACTCCTTATTTACAGAGTTATTGTCCTTTCGAAAAATGTCGTGTCCGGAGCATAACTTTGCCGGCAGTTAAGCTAGGATCATGAATCTTGGTGTGTACATCAGTCATACTAAAGCGATGTGCACTGTACCGTATTCAGAGTCTGCAGCCCCTTAATAATTATAGAGTTATTGCCCTTTGCGAGGAAGAATTATAAAAATAAGAAACGGGGCAAAAAAACCCATAAGTCTCCCAAACTACGTTTGAGCAAAGTAATAATTAGTCTCGTTTGTGCTAACAGTGGAAACTCTAACACGGTTTGTATTCATTCCTTATGCTTTTATAAACATCCTCATTTGTGAACTTTACAAAGGGAAGTTTAAAAAATCATCGCATCTCTTTCCGTTGTATATATAAAGAATTAAAAAAAATATGAGAATTTCTTTTTGTCTGTCTGTATTCTTACCATTTCATGAAATGAAATTTGAAAAAGCCTATCTTTGAATTCTGACTATCTCCCACAAAATTAACAATACCAAAATATTCATAGACACACATAACTATCAGTGCTTATAGCTGGCATATAGTAGAATACATTAATTATCAGTAACATATGCCTTCATGTTTCATAGCTGAAGCATATGCTATATTTCAGACACATATACATGTATGTAACGTGTTAAAACATTAATTTTCTTCTTTCAAACTCCCCATTTCAACATATTTTTACCTATATGCGTCATAAATCTAACCAAATGCAAAATTCAAAAACAGAAAAAGCCTCCAAAAAAGTTGTTTTTAGGGAGCATACATCAGCTCCACTGATACTCTTGTTTAAACCAAATACAGTAATTTATATTCAGCAAAGTACACATAAATATATATACTTCAATGTATCGTATGACAATCAAGTATGTAGCAGATATGTGAGAAAATATTAAAAAAGGACGTACAGTGATTGTTCTGTTGTTTTGGTGTAATAATATGAAGTTCTAAAACTGTGCTGTTGTTTGGAAACCAGATGCTAATTGGAAAAAAAACACCATGATTTTCACTTTGACATCATCAAGTTCCCTACCCTACAACTATGAATATAATTGCTGAAAATCAAGAAACAAACACAGTCATGATATAAGAATTGACGCTAGGGTCTTGCCCCACCCTAGGGAGTTAATTCCTGAGTCATTACCTTGAAACGGTTGAAATCCCCACCCCATAACCATATATACCATTACTGGGCATCAAAACACGAACACAATTATGATATTAATATTGATCCTGAGGTCTGGCTCTACCCCAAGGGTCTTAATTATTGGGTCCTAAGTTTTAAATGGTTGAGAACCCCACCCCATAACCATTTGTACCATTGCTGGACATAACGATCCAGTAGAGCAATACAGGCCTTTGGCATATATGACATGATAAACAGGATAAGAGGAAAACAATCATTCACCCTCTTGGTGGGGTGAAAGGGGGATGCAACCCTCTGTGAAAGAATCAAGTTCATGTTCGGTGTTGAGATGTGTCCCCACATCACGGAAAGACAATTCAAAAATCCTTAAAGAGGACAAATAAGGCTACGATAATTAAATGGCTAAGTACTTAAAATAAAATTGCAGTTCTTTCAGATGCAAAATGCTGTGTTAAGTAAAGTTAGGAGAGCTATTTTTCCTTATCAATCGCGCATGCAACCTTCATTTCAAGTATATTGTGTCGGTTCTTTGTCTGTATATATATAAGTAATCATTTTCTTTAATCTCTCAAATCTTCTAAACCTCCAATAAATCGTTGTGTATTGAAACAGTTAGGTGTATAAAATAGCAGCTCTGAAACAGATTCACCACAATTAAGTAACCTTACAAAGTTCTATTTTTCCGCCATCTTCTGAAATTCACTACTACCAGTACACATGATCCTGTACATACAAGCTTAAACCCTTTGCTAACCGTATGAACTATCTTCCGTCTCCGGTATAAATGTCAAAACACATACACATTTAACTCTGTCCCACCCGTATAAATGTGTCTAGTGGTGTATTAACTGTACACCTACTTAACAGTAGAAATATATCTGCATACATAGTTTTAGCTGTGCATACAATCCCCTATAATAATTAACGTGTAAATTGAAGAAGTTGCCCTGTTAAATTTCGCAATTCTTTATTTGAGCGTTAATTGTTCTGTGTCCATCAATTTTTCGGATTCATTAGAGCGATGTTATGAGAAATTGTTTGCTTTTTGAAGTGAATTTTTAAAAGGTGGTCCTTTATCATAGTTTAGTTTTCTTACTAAATTTTGGGACGTATATATTCTATATTTTCAGCAAAATCTTCTGATGTGTACACTGTACACCTGCAAAGCTTAAATGTAAAATAAATTTGAACATCGGAACAATGTTTCATACAAAAAAATGAAGTAAATCGATTCTTAACTATTAAACAAAACTTAATATAACAACTGTAATCGAATGACTACACCTCTTGCAGGAAATTGACCTTTTTCAGAGACATATCGTGAAAAGTAATACTTCATTTACTAGTATTCAATGTACGGGTTGTTTGGACAATCAGTATGTTTTCTTCCTTTATCATACTCATAGTTCTGACCAAATGTTCAGTTTGATCACTCGAGTTCTTAATTGGCAAACAAAATGTAGCATTAATGTTATTACTGCTATCTGATTTCAGGCAGGAAATAGTCATTTGAACAGAGTTTAATGCGTAAGTTACGTCATACCGTTCTTTACCGTATTGATGTGTTTTCATTTTGCTTACGATTCAATCCTTTAATGTTTGGATGAAAGTGCAATTTATGTTGACTAATGTTCCTCAATTTATTGAGGGTTCTGAGGGATGCTTGTACACGAGTACACCTATCCGTCATTTTCAACAATAGTTTATACCAATTCGGATTTCCAGCATTCTGGCCTCTAGCATCACCGATTAGTCCTAGAAGCAGCTGTATAATAATGACATGCTGTATCTAATACCAAACGTTAAAGGTACAGTCACCTGTGTGTGTTAACTACATTCAATTTTTATGTGATTTTGTAAAAGTTGGTCCGACGTTATTGTTCGTTTTTCTTATACAAATTTGTGGCATCGCACTGACAATACTAATATGGAACACACTAGTACTTGCTCCCAACTTGTCATGTATTGCATATGTAAGATATTAGATCTAAAGCTATTGTCCACAACAATCGAATATGAAAGTTTTCGAATATAACAGTTAATATAACGATACTGTGTAGTTTGCTTTTGTGCTTGTCTAAGTGAACTTTGCTGTTTTTTTCTAAAGAGGCAAATGACAACATGCATAATACAAATTGCTATCAACTTAAAATTGAAAAGAAAACAATAGGCTGACCGGTGTATGCCAATGTAGTACGTCGTTTATTACCTAAAAGTAACGTCCTATACTTATTGCTATGAATGTCAATAACAATTGCATTAACATTAACATATAAATAGACATTTATGTACGTTAAACAAAGATCGATAATCAATACTAATGCTAACAAAGTAATTCTTATCCGAGAGCACCATTAGTTCCTGTAGAGGATATTGATAACTCTGTATTTATCTTCTAAAGATACTTCCGTTCCAATTTAGATTTAAATTCGCATAAGTTGATAGCGAGTAACAACCCCACAACACATACACACACAAACACACACACACTCTTTAGCTTGATCGGATCCGGAGTTGCCCTCTTTAAGCTGGTGACGTTAGAACAATGGGCAGGTGAGCGGACTCCTTGATCGAAATATCATGAACTGCATTGTCAAAATTCGCATTAAAAAACTAGACCTACCGACCTGTAAGAAATCTTTGATACAATTCAAACAACTTTATCGAGTGATTTTTGACACGTGACCGAATTAACAAATACCTGAGTTGGTTCTATTTATATGCTTCGTGGTATTGTGTTATTGATAGCATCGATGTTAAAACCGGACATAGATTTTGGTAAAGACCTTCACGGTGACGTCATAGCGTGATTACAAATATGTTTAGATTTCTGAAATAGCGTCAATTTGTTCATAAGATTGTGAGGAGTATCATGGAGGTCCGTGATGTCATCTCAATATTGAGGATTCTCCTTGGAAGGAGGGACTTCTAGTTCATAAATAACAACTGGGGTGTTCTAAAGTCACTCATTCTGAGGATAAATATGACTAGTCTATCAGTGTAAAACTTTATATGAATTCACCACGTAGTCTATTGGTAAAATAGACACCCATTCTGAGGATATATAGCTTATAGTCTATCAGTGTAAACTATTGGGAAAAGAGACACTCAATCTGAGGATAAACGGCTAGTCTATGTAAAACTTTATAAGAAGTCACCACGTAGTTTGTTTGGTAAAATAGACACTCATCCTGTGGCAGTATGACTAGTCTATCAATGTAAAACTTTGTAAAAAGTCACCACGTAGTCTATTGGTATAATAGACACTCTTCCTGTGGATGAATGGCTAGTCCATCATTGTAAAACTGCACAAAAAGTCACCACATAGTCTATAGGTAAGTACTGACATCGTATTAATAGTCTGTGCAAATTATTTAATTGTTACATATCACTTGCTATACACAATTCACCTGCCTTGATGAATCATTGCTTGGTTATTAAGAAGAGAGGATATGACAATGAAATGATTGTTAATTTGATAAACTTCTGTATATTTTTCCAATCAATCTACACTCTAGTAAATTTTAATTGCACCAACAATGTCAATGTATTTCTTGTTTAGCCTGTCTAAGTTTGGTCGTTAGGGACGCAACTGACGTCAGACTATGTATATATGTCTTCTTCGGAACACCTCGGCGGATTCTATCATCTTAGATGTACTGTTATCAGGGTAAAGTGTTCCGAATGGTCAGAGCACGGCAAAATCGGCCGACTTGTTCCGGGGTGAGGACAAAACCCGGAATGCACTCAGGCGTGAAGAGATATTTGATAAAGTTTTGTATTTATTAGGCCATATCTCCCTTATTACACGATGGATTTTTATTCGGAAACCAGCATAAGAAAGACAATTTTATACTCGTTACAATGGTATAAGTTATGCTAAGCAGTAATTTAAATTGGAAGTGGAAGTGGTGGCCGGAATGAACCAATATGAAATAAAAATAACAATATTTTCAACAGTTTTCGTTCAAATAAATACTCATAACTCGAATAATACTGAAGCGACATTTGTTCGGAGACAACTCTGGCCAAGGTTCGGAGACCACTCTGGTCAAGGTTCGGAGACAACTCTGGCCAAGATGATTTGTTCAGAGACCACTCTGGCCAAGGTTCGGAGACAACTCTGGCCAAGATGATTTGTTCGGAGACCACTCTGGCCAAGATTATTTTGCAATCTTTAGGATGATATCAACTGTTTAAACACATCTTACATATTAATCGCAAAAGTGGTTGCCGGTATGAATCGAAGTCGTGTGAAAAATAATGAAAAAAATATCAAACTTTCTCGTAAACTTTTGTCTTTCTTGACATATATCTCGTTAATTACTAAACCGATTTTTTGTTCGATGACCACTCTAAACAAGATAATTTTAAAATCTTTTAGCTGATATAACTTTTATTGATATACATTACAAATTCGGTGCAAAAGTGGTGGCCGGAACGAACTACTATGAATGTAAATTTCACTACACGCTCAGGTATGCTAAACAGAAGCTAAAAAATCGGTAGTGCAATTCAAGGGAAGTAACTCAGACTGAAAAATATATTACCCGTAGAATTATTATGATAAGAAATGTTTCCGGGCTTTGCGACGAGGACACAATCCTACAAAAGAGCCATTTTTTTCTATATTTAGAATGTTTTGAATTTACCTCACTGAATATTTATTTTCAAAACCTGCAATGTTCGGAATGTTTTACAATGAATCCTACTTGAGCTCCTATCACAACCAATCATCTCATCCATCCAATCTGATAACACACAGGAACAGCTACAATTGATTGTTATATTGTGTTTGTTGCCTTTCTTATTTGTGATGCTTTTTTAACAAATTGTGAAAAAATTGTGTTGAAGTGTCCCTTTTTTTCCAACACCAAATCAAATGTTTCCGCATTTGTTTTTTTTAATGAAGTTAGTTTTTTGCTTAAATGAATTTGGTCTAGAAATGAAATATAATTTACTTATATATCACTCATGTAATGAAAGAAAATTCAATGATATATTAAAAAAATAGTTTCATACGAGCATTATGGTACAGACTGTAACATACACAAACATATCATTTATAGGCTTACACAAATAAAATTGTAAAGAAAATTTATCAATAATGTGCTGAATTAATTTACCTTTTTTTCTTGATCAGCCATATGTTTTTGGGTTACATTAAATTTCCCATTGAAGTTGAATAGCCTACCAAGATAACTAAATTGATTTACAATCTCGAGTTGTTGTTTTTTCCCCCTGACCCTGGAGTTTTTGTATATTCTTGCTTAACAAATTCATCAAGCGAACCTTGTACAGAGTGGTCTCCCTTGGTCCCTTGGCCAGAGTGGTCTCCGAACCTTGGCCAGAGTGGTCTTCGAACCTCGGCCAGAGTGGTCTCCGAACCTTAGCAAGAGTGATCTCCGAACCTTGGTCAGAGTGGTCTCCGAACAAAATCATCTTGGCCAGAGTGGTCTCCGAACCCTGGCCAGAGTGGTCTCTGAACAAATCATCTTGGCCAGAGAGGTCTCCCATGGCCAGAGTGTGCTACCAGAGTGGTCTCCGAACAGTGGCCAGAGTGGGTTACCAGAGTGGTCTCCGAACCTTGGCCAGAGTGGTCTCCGAACCTTGGCCAGAATGGTCTCCCTTGGTCCCTTGACCAGAGTGGTCTCCGAACCTTGGCCAGAGTAGTCTTCCTTGATCCCGTGGCCAGAGTGGCCTACCTTGATACCTTGGCCAGAGTGGTCTCCCTTGGTCCCTTGACCAGAGTGGTCTCCGAACCTTGGCCAGAGTAGTCTTCCTTGATCCCGTGGCCAGAGTGGCCTACCTTGATACCTTGGCCAGAGTGGTCTCCCTTGGTCCCTTGACCAGAGTGGTCTCCGAACCTTGGCCAGAGTAGTCTTCCTTGATCCCGTGGCCAGAGTGGCCTACCTTGATACCTTGGCCAGAGTGGTCTCCCTTGGTCCCTTGACCAGAGTGGTCTCCGAACCTTGGCCAGAGTAGTCTTCCTTGATCCCGTGGCCAGAGTGGCCTACCTTGATACCTTGGCCAGAGTGGTCTCCCTTGGTCCCTTGACCAGAGTGGTCTCCGAACCTTGGCCAGAGTAGTCTTCCTTGATCCCGTGGCCAGAGTGGCCTACCTTGATACCTTGGCCAGAGTGGTCTCCCTTGGTCCCTTGACCAGAGTGGTCCCTAAACCTTGGCCAAAGTGGTCTCCGAACCTTGGCCAGAGTGGTCTTCGAACCTCGGCCAGAGTGGTCTCCGAACCTTGACCAGAGTGGTCTCAGAACAAATCATCTTTGCCAGAATGGTCTCCGAAACCCGGCCAGAGTGGTCTCCGAACAAATCATCTTGGCCAGAGTTGTCTCCGAACCTTGACCAGAGTGGTCTCCGAACCTTGGCCAGAGTAGTCTTCCCTGATCCCGTGGCCAGAGAGGCCTACCTTGATACCTTGGCCAGAGTGGTCTCCCTTGGTCCCTTGACCAGAGTGTTCCCTAAACCTTGGCCAAAGTGGTCTCCGAACCTTGGCCAGAGTAGTCGCCGAACCTTGGCCAGAGTGGTCTCCGAACCTTGACAAGAGTGGTCTCCCTTGGTCCCTTACCCAGAGTGGTCTCCGAACATTGGCCAGAGTAGTCTCTGAACCTTGGCCAGAATTGTCTCACTTGGTCCCTTGACCAGAGTGGTCCTCGAACCTTGGCCAGAGTAGTCTCCCTTGCTCCATTGGTCAGAGTGGCCTACCTTGGTCCCTTGGCCAGAGTGGTTTCCCTTGGTCCTTAGCCAGAGTGGTCTTCGAACCTCGGCCAGAGTGGTCTCCGAACCTTGACCAGAGTGGTCTCAGAACAAATCATCTTTGCCAGAATGGTCTCCGAAACCCGGCCAGAGTGGTCTCTGAACAAATCATCTTGGCCAGAGTGGTCTCCCATTGCCAGAGTGTGCTACCAGAGTGGTCTCCGAACCGTGGCCAGAGTGGGTTACCAGAGTGGTCTCCGAACCTTGGACAAATTTGTCTATGAACCTTGGCCAGAGTGGTCTCCGAACTTTGGCCAAAGTGGTCACCGAACCTTGGCCAGAGTAGTCGCCGAACCTTGGCCAGAGTGGTCTCCGAACCTTGACCAGAGTGGTCTCCCTTGGTCCCTTAGCCAGAGTGGTCTCCGAACATTGGCCAGAGTAGTCTCCGAACCTTGGCCAGAATTGTCTCACTTGGTCCCTTGACCAGAGTGGTCCCCGAACCTTGGCCAGAGTAGTCTCCCTTGATCACTTGGTCAGAGTGGCCTACCTTGGTCCCTTGGCCAGAGTGGTCTCCCTTGGTCCTTAGCCAGAGTGTTCTCCGAACATTGGCCAAAGTAGTCTCCGAACCTTGGCTAGAATGGTCTCACTTGGTCCCTTGACCAGAGTGGTCTCCGAACCTTGGCCAGAGTAGTCTCCCTTGATTCCTTGGCCAGAGTGGTCTCCCTTGGTCCCTTGACCAGAGTGGTCTCCGAACTGTGGCCAGAGGGGTTTCCGAACCTAAACCAGAGTGGTCTCCCTTGGTCTCCTGGCCAGAGTGGTCTCCCTTGGTTCCTTGGCCAGGGTGGTCTCCCTTGGTCGCTTGGCAAGGGTGGTCTCCGAACCTTGGCCAGAGGGGTATCCCTTGGTCCCTTGGCCAGAGTGGTCTCCGAACCTTGGCCAGAGTGGTCTTCGAACCTCGACCAGAATTGTCACCCTAGGTCCCTTGACCAGAGTGGTCTCCGAACCTTGACCAGAGTTGTCTCCGAACCTTGGCCAGAGCGGTATCCCTTGGTCCCTTGACCATTGTTGTCTCCCTTGGTCCCTTGGCAAGAGTGGTCTTCGAACCTCGACCAGAATTGTCACCCTAGGTCCCTTGACCAGAGTGGTCTCCGAACCTTTACCAGAGTTGTCTCGGAACCTTGGCCAGAGGGGTATCCCTTGGTCAGAGTGGTCTCCGAACCTTCACCAGAGTGGTCCCCGCACCTTGGCCAAAGTGGTCTCCCTTAGTCCCTTGGCCAGAGTTGTCTCCCTTGGTCCCTTGGCCAGAGTGGTCTTCGAACCTTGGCCAGAGTGGTATCCGAGCCTTGACCGGAGCGGTCTCCCTTGGTCCCTTGACCAGAGTGGTCTCCGAACCATGGCCAGATTGGTCTCCAAACTTTGACCAGAGTGGTCCCCGAACCTTGGCAAGAGTGGACTCCCTTGGTCCCTTGACCATTGTTGTCTCCCTTGGTCCCTTGGCAAGAGTGGTCTTCGAACCTCGACCAGAATTGTCACCCTAGGTCCCTTGACCAGAGTGGTCTCCGAACCTTGACCAGAGTTGTCTCGGAACCTTGGCCAGAGGGGTATCCCTTGGTCCCTTGGTCAGAGTGGTCTCCGAACCTTCACCAGAGTGGTCCCCGCACCTTGGCCAGAGTGGTCTCCCTTAGTCCCTTGGCCAGAGTTGTCTCCCTTGGTCCCTTGGCCAGAGTGGTCTTCGAACCTTGGCCAGAGTGGTATCCGAGCCTTGACCGGAGCGGTCTCCCTTGGTCCCTTGACCAGAGTGGTCTCCGAACCATGGCCAGATTGGTCTCCAAACTTTGACCAGAGTGGTCCCCGAACCTTGGCAAGAGTGGACTCCCTTGGTCCCTTGACCATTGTTGTCTCCCTTGGTCCCTTGGCAAGAGTGGTCTCCGAACCTTGGCTAGAGTGGTCTCCCTTGATCTCTTGGTGAGAGTGGTCTCCGAACCCTAGCCAGAGTGGTCTCCCTTGGTCACTTGGCCAGAGTGGTCTCCCTTGGGCTCTTGGCCGGAGTTGTCTCCGAACAAATATCGGTTCAGTATTATTCGAGATATGAGTATTTATTTGAACGAAAACTGTTGAAAATATAACCATTTTTATTTCATAGTGGTTCATTCCGGCCACAAATATTAATTCCACTTCCAATTTAAAATACTGCTTAGCGTAACTAATATAATGTTAACAGGTGTACAATTATCTTTCCTATGCTGGTCTCTGAAAAACAATCCATTTTGCATTGAGAGAGATATGGCCTAATAAATACAAAACTTTATCAAAAAGCTCTTCACGCATGAGTGCATTCCGGGTTCCGTACTCGCCCCTTGTTCCGGAAGTGAACAGGGTAATTCACCTGGAGGTGTGGCAAAGGGAATGTATGCATTTATGTATGTAAGGATAATTTGTATGTTAATTTTGAATGTAAGTATGAATGTTAGTATAAGTAAAGAAGACAGTGAAAATGAAGAAATATAATTACTAGTAAGTATGAAAGAAAGTATGAGAGCCCTCTTGTATGAGAACACATGATTGTGAAGATGTTGATCCCGGGTCTCCCCAACCTCGGCAGTATAATTGTTCCAGTTTGGATGGAATGAGTACTTAATCAACAGAGTAGATGTTTGGAAGAGATTAGATGTTTGATTCCTTTTCAAGATGGCCACCAAAACATTCATTTTACTGCCCAATCAGTTGTCCGATTCATAGACAACTATCAATGGAATTCAGAAATGTGTGTTTGTTTGCTACTGTAATAGGGGGAGGTCCGGAGAGGGTTTGCATCCGTTGTCACTCCGTTAAATCCGTTTCGTGATCATATAGTTTTGGTAATGGTAACGAGTCGACACCTTCCCCTGCAGTCCTCTCTAGACCTCACCTCATTCGTCAGGTTACAGACCTGTTGTCACAACAGGTTCGAATACTAGATGTAGTGGTAATACAAGCAATTGATTCAATAACTCAACAAGGTGTTTAAAATACAAGTAACTGTTTATTAACAAGACGGAATGAATATGTATAACAGGTTTAACAAATACAAAGCATAGCATTAGTGCCAAACAGTGACAGCTAATGTTAAGAAACCCAATCCCTTCGTATGTAGAGTAATGGCCTATCCTACCTAACAGTCCTACCAGTAGACTACGACCACGTGCTCCTAGCTCCCTATAGATCTACAGCGGACCAACATGTATCGATGCCTAAGCCCGAAGCCCCTGACTATCCCTACATACATGTACTGTATTTCCTATATCACTCTATATATCCCAGGAACGATACCTACGGTATTGGTACTGTTAGCAGCACCTCGGCCCACGTTTTGCACTGTTAACAGCGCATGAGGGCAGTAAGGTTCTCCTCCCCTAGACAAGACACTTATCCCCGCCCGGACCCGCTCCCCCCACCAAATAGCCTCGAATATGAGTAACCAACTGTTCATCTCGAACCCAGCCTCACCATCTAAAAGCATGTGAGCGAGGAGCTGGAACCTATTCCTGTTATTACTATCACCCACTTCCAGCCGTTTCAAAAGTGTAAACACACAGATTTCAGCACCGGTATCGTAGCAGCTGATCGCCAGAAATCCTACACTGAACGAAAAGCTCTACCCTAAATAAGGGTGAATAACACAGAAAGTAACAGATCCCTGTCTGTAAATCATAAACAATAAATATACTTAACAAAGTGATACAAATGTGAGAAGTTATTTTTAAACAACCTCACCTCCAACACCTCTTTGCTTTTATATAAATATTATATAACATCTGATGACATTTACAGATGTTTTGCAAGATGTATATAGTTCGAATGGCAGACTTGGACAAAATAAGGAAGAAAAATTAATGCAAAGCTTTGAGTTTGCTTTCTAACTTGTGATTCTAGATTCACAAAAAATAGAACTGTAAGCCAAAGGCTAACTAATAGCCCCGCTGCTATATAAATCAGAACTGTAAGCTAAAGGCTTACTAAGGCAAAGCATTGCAAAGTAATCCATAGTCTCCCACCAGTAATGAGTTCTTTATTGACTGAGCTGTACACTTATTAACGTACATATATGGTCACCGACATACTTCTGTACTCCCTCCCGATGCCAAAACATACTTAGATACCAAATATTGTTATCCCATATGATCAGTTTTGCTAAAAGTGTCTTATAAGTTAAGGAAAAGATGTGAGGACAAAGATATTTCACAAAAGGCCATAACTCCTTAAAAAGTTTCGAAATAAAAAAAAAAAATATTAGCACGATGCACGACATCAGGGGGTAATTACAATATCACTTCAACTTTCATTGAAATCGGCCCAGTAGTTTACGAGGCAGACAAAGGTTTTTCAACAAAGGACCATAACTCTTTTTAAAAGGGTTGGAATGAAAAAGTACTACTTGGATGCACAACGTCAGGGGGCAGATACCATATCTGTAAAATAATTCTGAAATTGGCCCAGTAGATGAGGAAAAGTTGTCAGGACCAGAATTTTTCAAAGGGCCATAACTCCATAAAGAGTGTTGGAAAAAATACCTTGATGCAAAACATAAGGAGGTAGTAATCGTATCTGAAAAGTTTCGTTGAAATCGATTCATACTTTTAGAAGGAGTTGTCCGGAAAATTAAAAAAAAAAATTTCAACAAAGTGTCACAACTTTGTACAAAAAGTCCAGAATGAAAAATAATAATACCTGGATGCACAACTTCAATTTTTTTCTACGGACAGACAGACAGAAAGACAAAATGATTCCAGTATACCCCATCGTTGCGGGGGTGTAAAAACGAAATGCATAACTAGGGACGATGGGGAACCTTAATGTGAAATTTGAGAAAGGTCCCGCTAGTACTTTCTGAGAAATAGTACTAACAAGAATCGTTTAAGGACGGACGGAATGACGGACGGACGACCAGACCACGGACACATGGTGATTTGAATATACCACCATCTGATGGATCACAGGGTAAAATATGTCAAAACCTTCAAACAACTTTTTCTGAAGAATGGAAAGGCATATATTAATGATGTTCGGCCAGTAGCTTCCTTGGATATATTAACGAGATGTGTCCACGTACCATAACTGGCAGCCTTGCTACCAACATGCTCCAAAGATAACCCTGACATTCTACGGAAGCTCGTAGAAATTTTAACTAACTAACGTCATACAATAAACAAGGAAATAAACTGTACGCCACTTCTCAAGTGCTATCCAGAAAGCTCCAAATGAGACCGGCACGTATCTCGCGACATATCACAGACACCCCTCAGCATCATTAGAGGAAATAATACCTAATTAAGAACTTAATGCACTAAAATATTACTGAAATTGCGGCAATCAGAAGAACACATTATGCGTTACATATGTACATGTATGACGAAGATAATCACTTCATTGATAATGAAATAATAATCTGCAGCACGATATAGTCGTAGAAGAGTTTGATCTCACTACCCACTTTAGATGAACAATGGTGTACAAGCATTGGGTTACACTTAACACTACATTGAACGCGGTGAATGTTGCCATTTTAATGCTATGTACAGTGTTAAATTGTGAAGCTTTATTTGTAAGCATCCTCACTATGGAACTTTGTGGTTTTTTGTTGACAGGTTCTATCCGAACGAGGTCCAACCGTGCGTTCTAACGTCATCTAACATGGAGAACAACCAGTGTTTTCAGGTTCAGCTGATCGGTAAGCTTACATCTACAGATAATAATAGTTTTCATTTATTCTTGATGACAAAGTTGAGTCAACGACTCGGCATCGTTTTTGATTTTTTAAATGTTTTGAGCCAATCTTTCTGATTTTCTGAGAATGAAGCGGGTCAAATATTTTCTGTGTTGTCATGGTTCTTTTCACGTGTTTTACATCGCAGTCAGACTAGGCCTATGGTGGATATGGTATTGTTTCATAAAAGATTTGACTATGGCCAATATTTTCTTTACGCTCAGATGACACCCAATAATTGATTTTCATTTTAAAGGTTTATTTATGATGTATAAGAATAGGATCGAACAACAGGCTACGTCTATTTCATATTTTATAGTGAAATGAAAAATTGAAACAAGATACGCAACTAATATAGAAAACATCAATACATTCATGTGCAAGTCAATGGTATAGGGGAGATAACTCAAATTGGTTGTAGAAATTACAGGTCAGTCAAGTGCGGTATCTAGATCTTATCAAGGTAATGAGTGAATATTCCCTGGGAATTCAAGATAGAATTAAATTTAAAGATTATATACATATAATAGTCTTTGGATATTATAAATAAGTTATGCCGATCTTGTAGGAAACATTAACATTCCCATTATAATAGATTAAAAATATAATCATACAATTACTTGTTTCTAATTACTAAGAACAATTACATGCTGATTTATGGGGCGAGCATATCATAGCTATGCTGCGTACATTTGTTAATTTATAGAATTGATACCAGCCAGTAATAGATCACTAAGCATTTTATATATCATTAAGTCTTTTAACTGGAATATTCATGTATACAATATCACTATATTATAATTCATAAAAAAGTGATCTATTTATATAAACCATTTTGAGTTTGTTATAAAGGTTGAAACGTTTTCTAGGATATTTTATTAGTTTCATAATCACATTGCTTACAACCATTTAGTATAGTATGCAGTGTATAGTGCGAGTGTTTATCACTGAGTAGAGAAAAAAATGTCTGTGTATCTTGCACAAACAAGGAAGTAATGCTGACTTGTTTCTTGCATATAACCTTCACAATTCACATGCAGCAGATTCTAGTATAGTTTCACTATAGATATCAAAATGTAAGTTGCTAGCATTATTTCTAAATTGACATAGTATTTTGCAATAATTTAAACATTGAAATTATATTATTTCCCCCCTTCTATCAGCTTAGTTGCCCATTCCAATTCTTTATATAATTTATGGTATGATGTATCTCTACTAAGCCCTGTCACTACTCTAGCAGGATCTAGTTGGACTGATTCTAATAAAATGTTTGATTTCTCACAGCAATAATCCCAAACTACATTTTCATATTCTAAAATTGGTCTAATATGAGATATAAAGTGTTAAGTGTTCTAATATCAAGTGATATTTTAAAGCTTCTTGATGTATTATTTTTTTCATATGCTATTTTTGATTTGTTGACCCCATTTATCTTCTTCATTAAAAGGAATACCTTTATGTTTATGGTTTTAAATGTCAGTTCGTGGTTGATTAGAGAGAAAGATTGGATGGTGGTTAGTTTCTTTTTTTTCCGTGTGGAGATCTTAGTTGTAGTTTTGGATGCATTTAATTTTATATCCCAAGATTAAGGTTAATTTTTTTTATTCTGCAAGTCATTAGTGAGCTTTGATGCTGCCTGAATAGGATTATCATCAACAATAATATAGAGGAATGTGTAATCTAGCAATATTAATGTAACTTATAACTATATCTGTTAGTGATGTCATGTTTATAGAGAATGAAGATAAATGGACTAAGGACATACCCCTGAAGGAATCCTGCACTGATACATTTAAAGGTTGTCTTGAGTTCTTCCATAATTACCCTTTGTTTTTTCTCGGATAGCACCCATTCAGGTAGGCGATCGTGAAAAGATATCGTAAAAGGCGACTAATGTGTGAGCCACCTGCACAATTGGGGGTTTGATTTGTGCCCTCTGCTTGAGGACACAAAATCAACCAAAATAAATCTGCTGTACCTATTGCAATATTTGAGATCTTTATGTTTCTGTCTACTTCCATATACCTTTTATTTCCTTGTGTCTTGCTTGGCAATACCGCACTTCTGGCTTTAATGTTGAGCGTTCGCCTAATTGTAGCCAATCAATCAAGTTGGAAAGTAATATTAATTGGTATTGGCATAGGATTTTTCGTACACTAAATGTGTACGTACAAATTACGTGTCAAAAATGTTTTACTAGTAGTAGATTTTGGAAACATTATTTGGTTTTATGGCATTATCAGAAGCGGAATTATATATCTGAAATCCATAATATATCTTTTGTATCTAATCAGTGCTTAGTAGAGTGTGAGATGGGTATTTTTATTTAACCCTAATTTATTCCCGGAAACGAATATGAGTGTATTTAGAGCCTTTTTACAGCTTTCTTTTATGTTCTTAATATGAGAGTTTTTGCTCAAATATATCTTGATTGTTTCACATATTGATGTTTTTTATTACCTAGATAGAGATCAGGTTTTCTTTCTTGGTATGACATAGCTACCTTCATATTGTTTTTTCTTTAGAGGTTTTTAACCCCCATTTATCAGCCCATTCTTGTATGTAGTCAAATGTTCTCTGTATTATTACACAAGTATTTGTTATGTTATTATTACTATTCAACATGCATGCTAGTGTCCAATTCGAGCGTGTTTTTCATTATATATTATTTCATTATATACTAAATAGGGTTGGAGAGATTACGCTATCTTGTGGTACTACGTTTTTTAATGTTCCTATGATAAGGTATTGAGCCCACTTGGATTTTCCTATCTTTTCAGAAAATTAGTTATGAACTTCAGAATGTCGCCTGTTTTGCCATCTTCTTTAACTGATTTTAGTAGACCCTCATGCTAGATAAGATCACTGGCTTTTTTTTTTACATTTAGAAACATGGCTACAGTGTGGTGGTTTTTACTTAGTGTATGTTTTATAAACGATGTTATTCTGTCTAGATAATTTATGGTTGATCTATGGTTTCTAAAACCGCATTGATTTTCTCTAATTTGGTTATTTTTAGTAATATGGTATTTTATCATACTTTCTAGTGTTTTACACAGATGAGCTGTCAGGGAAATCGGTCTAAATGATGCCGGATTTTGTTGATCTTTTCCCGGTTTTAAAATTGGAATGACTACTGCTTTATTGGGTATATTGTAGGTCCTCGTTTGCTAAATAGTGTTTAAATCATTATGTTTAGATTATTTTGACATTTTTAAAGTATTGAGAATGATAGACTATCTATGCCTAGAAATGTATTTTCTTTGTTTTAAGTGCGTTTGCGTTTTCGTCTAATGTAAATGGGGTGTTAAGCTTCAGCTGTCGTTATTCTCCGTGTCATTAAGATATTCTCTAATTTCGTATAAGTCGTTTATTTTAGCGTCCGTAAAACCATTCAAACATTTGCTAGTCTGCTGGATAACCGAAGTACTCGGTATTGAAGCGGTCGTAAAACCAATCAATCAATTTGCCGGTCATTAGGCAGTTTGATACACATGGAGGATGCACGTCGACTTTTATCTCGAATTCTAGACCAGATAGCGACACGCTGTAACGTGTTTTGGTAAGATAATCCTGAATGTAATCCGCACATTTGTTTTATTTCCCTAGCAATTCAAAATGGCGTCCTAGCAACCAAACCAGAAGTGACATTATCACAGCTTCTACACTAGATACAGATATACAGTAAAGTGTGTTGGAAAGGTAAGAAAGTCTTGAATGCAATCCGTACATGTTTTTGATTTCCCTAGATGACACAAAATGAAGCCGTAGCAACCAAACCGCAAGTTACCTTGTCTCGGCTTTCAGACTAGATAAAAATATGCGGTTACTTTTTTTGGAAAGATAAGCGTATCCAAAATGTGAACTGTTGATGTGCTTGATTTCCCTAGAAACACAAAATAATGCCTCAGCAACTGAATTGTAAGTCTCCTTTTATCGGGCTTCTATATCAGAATTCGACATGCGTTAAAGTGTCTTGTAAGATAGGGAATCACTAATTGAAATCTTTAACATTTAGGTAAACTGCTAAAAATACTTATAAAAATATTGACTTCACTTAGCTACATTCTGTTGGAATCTGCCCGACTATGCGTGGTGAAGGAGGCTGGATAACCACGTATAGAATGTTTGTAGTTAAAGTTGCCTCGAGACCTGATTAATTGGAATCGTGTAGGGATGCATAACTCCGTCCTCCGAGTTCCCGGACGTGACCCTTACTGTGTCCATAGTGAACAACTTGGACTGAAACGATACGTCACCGCTATCGTTTATGGGTTGTCTCACCTATTCGAATTGGTCAGTAAAGTCAAATAGTTCGCATGACTAATGCTACTCTAAATGCAGAAACAGAGGTTTTCCAATTTCTGCACACCTCTTTAAAAGGAGGAAACGCTTATAAGTATGTTCATTTCCCTTTTGTAGTCTCTACTTATCAATATTAATTTTTGGGAAAAATGGCCACCAGACAGCCATTTTAAATTTGATAGTTCAATTTTGTCATAACTCTTTTATATGCATGTTCCCATTGGTCCCCCTTGTAAATAATACCCCTGGCCCTAATGAGAACTCATCCGTCATTGCCACCACCTCTATTTATGTAAGAATTGCAGGTTTTTAGTATTTTGTACATAGTTATGCAATTATTAGGTAGCAGTATATAGTAGCGTACGGTGGCCATTGGTGATATTTTTGTACAATGAAAAACCCTCGTTATAGTACATGTACAACGTATCAAAAGTCCTACGGAATGACCTATGCAAAAACGTAATTATTTCTGTAACTGAGAAGGTAATAATTATTCATCTAAAAATATGTATTCAAAATGTACTTTATAAATATATGAATATATGTATGTGTGTTGGGCAGGATGAATACACATTGCCTTTATTTGTAGGATCAGACCATTTAAACTGTTCACTGCTACCTTAATCTATAACAAAGTGGCAAATAAAATATGACATTTAGAGGTTTAAGTTTATATACAAGATTCCTGTTTAGAATTTCAAACATGGGACTTGGCAACAGAACCTGGAATGGAAAATGAAGAGCAAAGAAGGCAAAAATAGTCGTTTGTAAATATAAAAAGATCCTTTCATGGTGGCCGCCAAATAACAACTTTTTAAAGTTGATTTTATTATTTTAAGTTCAAGAGCCAAGCTAGCAGGCAGACATTGGCCAAACGTGTCACCCAATGTTGGCCCGACATACGTTTGTCCACCGTACTGAATTTGGCTCGAGGTCGGATCCAAGCGATGGTTTAACGTTGGTTTTGCATGAAGAGAATATATATTTTTAAAAATACTTACATGTCAACTATTCAGACAATAACATTAAGTAACAGAAATGTTATTTTAAAAAGTATGTATTTCGTCGCTTTTGCACGATACATGCGGGCTCTCGACGGCCATTTCCTGTACTTTTTTAATTATTTGATTGTGATGAAAATAAAAAAGAGTGATATACAGATTGATTAAAACCAACAGAAAAAAAATCAGACTGAGAAAATATCAAACTGATATAAACTAATAAAGATGGTAGAATGGTGGGCGCCAAGATACCTCTGGGATCTCTTGTATATCAGCTATATTAACAAGGAAACGCTTTATTGGATTGATATACATTATACCAAATACATGTTCCATGTTATGTTTCAATTTGTGCCGCAATCTTTGCTGTCACATATGAGGATTATATATACATGTACCAACCGATATTTGCATAGACTACGTGTTTGACAAAAAAGGATAGAAACAAAATGTATTGACTTCAGTTTATGTAATCAAAAACTCATACGAAATTGTACACTCATCTTTTAAGTATAAGCAGATCGTGTGCATTAGATATGTTATCCACAAATACACTGTAATCAGCCTTCTTATCATATGCATATTTACCTTCAATAACAATTATTAACATGCAGACTTATAAAGAAATGACTTTAATCAAGATGCATGCAAACAATACCATATATAGAGCTTTCTCATCTGGAATATTATTTTGACTTTTCGCAGCTTTTAATTACGCGAAGGGCGTGTCTAGAATCTGTTGTAGACAAAGGAAATACGTTTGACGGAAACCACAGACCCCCTTTCAAAGACAGGGTGTGTGTTTGTGTGTGCTGGCCGTAGCTATCTATTAACATAGAAGATTTTGCTTACAGGAGATAAGGGGATTCGCAGTCATGCTGATACTGCAAATGTTGGCTTTTAAGGAGGATGGATTATCAGTTTATTATCAAAATATTTGTAGTACAGTATAATATTTAATGAGCATATTTTGCTATGACTGCATAAATATCAGGGTGAGCGGTACTGGCCCTCTGATTCTCTTGATTGTACTGTTTTGCGGTTGTAAAATATATCTAACCCTATTGTTAAGATCGATTTATTGCAATTAATTATGTATCAATTCCACTGAAACTGTATCAATTAAACCTTTTATAGACGGAACATTATAAAATCTGTCAAAGGTATTTTTATTTAAATCAGCGCATTCAATCTTTATGAGTTTGACGAAAAGATTGGTCGCATGCGTGACAATAAGGTTGAATATGCGTATCATTTCTCAAAACAAAATAACAATATCAGTATGCGTAGTTAAGGGGAGGTTACTTGTAGTAAACAAGAAACAAAACGGCAGGCTTTTGTCTTTAAGAGGCCAAATGGGCCTGAATCGCTCAACTGGTATAAATCTCACTCCAGTTGCCTTCAAAGCGATTTAGAAAACAGGCGTTTAAATATTCAACGTTGCAGGTATCGTAAGAAGCAACCAATATGGAAATCCCCTGCAGTATTTCGGATTTGCCTTCGTGTCCTCTTTCTGATATTGTAATGATCAGATATATTTCTCTTACATTTAAAGAACTGTACTAGTAAATATGTGAAACCGTGCATTTACTGTTTACATGACTTGAGAAAGTGATAAGAGAAAATAAAATAAAAGATCAAACTGAAATAGAATAAGGTACAATGATGGGATCTATTGTATGTAGTGCAGGCACCAAACGTCTTTAGTGTATAGAAAATGCAATTTGCTTATACCTGTTAACAACAAGTGGCTGCAATTGTGTGTCATGGAAAAGTTAAATGACATTACAGAGCCTGTATCCATTAAACCGTTCTCATGCCCAAACGTGGATTTTTTGCTCAAGTCTAATTTATTGTTTCTGTTATAAATTAATGATAAAATATTATTTTGGAAATAATTTGGAAAAAAACATTGAAGAGACTTCAAGTGCTGCTTTTAATGTTTACATTTGAATTTTTGATCGTTTGACATGATTGACGTGAGTTACAAGAAAGTTGGCTGGAGCACACAATCAATATCTTATAAATTATTTCACCTGGAGTAACCAGATTTGGTACAAGGACATCGTGGGATGGCAGAGTGCAAGAATTAAGTCGCTGTGACCTATGACTTCATCTTTGACCTTCACTTATGAAAATAGTTGTCCGGGGCATATCTTCAATACAGTTTCACCTGGAGTAACCAGATTTGATGTATAAGGATATCTTGGGATGGCAGAGTGAAAGAAGTAAGTCACTATGATAACACTGTGACATATGCTTCCTGACATAAGTGTATTGTTTTTTAAAATATTGAAATCATTACCGCTAGGGGACTATGGATTGCCTTGCAATATTTGTTCTAACTTTTCTCCCTCTGCCGTTCCTCTCTATTCTCTTTTCTTTTATCTCTCTATCTCCTTCTGTTCCTCGTTCTCTTCCTCCTCTCGTTTTCCCATCCATTTCAGTCATTCATTCTCATTTTCTTTCCTTGATGTTGTTATTTTCTACTATCAATCAATTTTCTCTCTCCATACTTGCCACAGCTTGTAGGTCACCCCGCCTGTAATCCTCTCTCGTTTTTCTTTTCTGCCTTTTTGTGTGAAAAAACTTCTGTTCGTCTACTCACTTTTACCAGAAAAGGGTAACAACGACTACAAAAGGTAGTTGTATTCCTCTTCCACGGTGCTCAAAACAACTTTATAAAACAAAAAGCACTTACACATAAATGTAAAAATAGCAAAAACTAAGTATCCTCCCCCAGCCAACCCCTCTTCCCAATCACCCCCAAACACCTCTCCGGTCCATACAACTAGCACGCTATACAGCCCTTACATCTATCATCACATTTCTTTCATACCCATCACTTCTTTCAATCTCCAACCCCTCCAGCCCCATCAATGTTATAACCAAACTATAACTCTAACCTCGCCTCCCCCCCCACCATTATTCTTTTATCCCATACTAATAATCACGCTATACACTAAAAATCATAAATGTCGGAACGATGAACAGAATTAAGTGAACGACAAGTCGAGGCTTTTTAGAAAGATGAGATTGGTATAAATGGTAGCCCATGTGAGAAGTGTCCAATCTCGCACGGAAAAAATCCCTCTGGGTTTTTCGAAAAAGAGTAGGCGCGTAAACGCCGACACAGAGGATAGCGAAAGCGTTATTCAAAATTTTAGGCCGATAGAACTAGGGTCTCGTTATTAAGACATTTAGAAGGACTTCAAACTTTTATATACAAACCAAATTCATAGGCAGGGGCTGGTGTGGCTGGCGGCGGCACAGTACCTCACTTCCGGTCCAGACTTGGTAATGCTGTACGATGAGTATATGTTAAGGCATTATTAGGCATAGGAGCCGTCTTACAAAATTAGACTTATACAGTTAATATATATAGGATAGACGGCCCCTTCTCTAACCTATCCCCCTCTTCTACTCTTTTACTCCATACTTTATCCCTTCTACTCATTTTCCTTTCTGTTCTTCGTCTGCTGGATAACCGAAATACTCGGTAGTGAAGCGGACGTAAAACCTATCAATCAATCAATAGCCTCTCTCTCTCGTTATTCTTTTCTGCCTTCTTGTGTGAAAAATCTTTGTTTGTCTACTCACTTTTACCAGACAAGGGTAACAACGACTACAAAAGGTTCCTCTTCCACAGCGTGTTCTCATTCCAAATTTGTTTTCACTAACACCGTGTTTGGAGAGTGTTTTGATGTGAGTGTTAATCCCGCCCCTACAATCTTGGCACTTGGGAACAGCTTCAATGATAACGAAGTACCAATTTGCAGCGTGATATAAATGTTTCGTAATAGTGTTTTCTTACTTCCAACTTTAGATGATTATGGTATACAAGCATGGGGTTACACTTTACACTGCACTGACTGCGGTAAATGATGCCATTTTTATGCTATGCACAGTTTTTAATTTTCAACTTTATTTGTAAGTATGAAACTATGCGGTTTTTTTGTTGACAGTTACTATCCGGCCAAGGTCAAAACCAACCTGTAGAAGAAAACTTGTGTTCTAACTTGATCTAACACGGAGAAACACCATTACGTTCATGCTCAGCTGATCGGTAAGCTTACAGGAAATAATGATAGTCTTTATTTATACTTGATGACAAATTTGAGTTAACGACTCGTCTTACATTGTTTTTATTTAAGAAATGTTCAGATCCGAACCTTTCTGATTATTTTCTGTGCTGTCATGGTTCTATTCACGTGTTCAATAATGCCGTCAAACTATGGACGAGATGGTATTGTTATGGTGTTTGCAATGCATATGCTCTTGCACAAAAATATGAATTTAAAATCCAGACGCTGGCTTTAATAGGGACACCGAAAAATTAAACTACTATTTTCTAAATTTTTCTCTGTAATAATAGGAGCTTGTTAAACACTTATTTAAACAGCATCTATTTATATAAGTGAACTGCCAAACTCTGCAACATTTACTGCTAAATGGTAGTGGTCCTAGTTTATCTACTGCTAATATTTCCATTGAGGACATGGGACTTGGCAACAGAACCTGGAATGGAAAATTACATTACAATAAGTGTATAGTTTAAAGATAAATGTGTTCTTTTCCCTGACTTCCTTTGGGCACATTGACCTCATAACCTGCACATCATAACCTTCATCTATGTTCCAATCTCTATCATATGATACCAAAGCATTTAGATATGACTATGGACAATGTTTTCTTTACACCCAGATGTCATACTATAATTGTATTCATGATGTATATGAATATGATCGAGCAACAGGCTACGCCTATATCAAATCTCTTCTGCATGTATTTGTATGTAACAGTATATATATGTATATATATCATATTTTACAGTGAAATGAAAAATTGTAACAAGATACACAACTAATATACAAAACATCAATATATTTATGTGCAAGTCAATGGTATAGGGAAGATAACTCAAATTGGTTGTAAAAAAATAAATGTCAGTCGGTGCTGTATCTTTACCTCATCAAGCTAATGAGTCAATATTGCCAATCGTCCTTCACTAGATCTTCCCTGGGAATTCAAGATCCACAAAAAGTGACCCTAAGATAGTTGACTATAAATATATACATATACTAGTCTTTGGATATTATATATAAGTTATGCCAATCCTGTAGGGTATATCACATTATCATTATAATATAGTAAAAATATAATTATACAACAACTTGTTTCTACTTTACTAAGCACAATTCAATGTTGATTTATGGGACACACAGTGTACATTTGTAAATGATTAATGGTATTGATACCAGCCAGTAATAGGTTTGGTTTAATTTTGTTTCACATCCTGTTAATAGCTTAGGTCATTTAAGGCGTGCCTCCGTGTATTTTGTGGATGCGTGCATGTGTGTAAGTGTGCTGGAGACAGGGTATGTTGGAGTACTTGCCTCCTTATGATAGCGCGGATCTGATGCCGACTTTAAAGTGCTATTTCTCTGAAATACCATACCCAAGTCATCCAGCATTCCGCCCGGTCACATTATATTAACAGCGGGTGAACTAGTTGTTGCAATTACCCTTAATGCTGAACGTTCAGCAGGGAATAATAACTACCATTGTATGGGCTTTGATATGTCCAGGCCTGGGGACAGTACCCATCGCCTTCCTCCCCTGGGCTAACGCTCAACATTGAAGCCAAACGTGAGGTATTGACACGCAAGGCACTAGGAAATATAAGGTAGTTAGAATTAGAGAGAAATATTAATATCCCAACTATTGCAGCAGCATATTTATTTGGGGTTCCCATTAGTCGCCTCTTACGATACTTTTTGCAATCCCCGACCTGCAGGGATGCAGCCAGTAATAGATTACTAGGCATTTTATATGTTAGATGTTCTTTAACCTGGAAAATTCATGTTTACAATATTGGTGCATTATAATTTTTATGAAGAAATTCATGTATATACATACCCTTTTTTCAGCTTGCGATAAAGGTTGAAACACTTTCTAGGATACTTTCATTAGTTTCATGGTCACATTGCTTACAACCATTTAGTATAGTATGCAGTGTATAGTGCGAGTAATTATCACCGAATATAAATATTTGTCTGTGATTTTTGTATCTGCCACATACAAAGTAATGATGAATTGTTTCTTGCATTAATATGCAGCATGTTTTAATAGATGGTCATTATAGGGATCAAAATTTTAGTTGCTAGCATTTCTAATTTGACATAGTATAATAACGATTTTTCTTTCCCCACTGATTGAGTATCATTAAGTTACTAGTTTTGTTAATTAGTTGCTTAAATTTGGAATGAGATTGAGTGTTTAATTTATTTTCGTTTAATTGATTATAAAGTTGAAAAGTTGAGGAAAAGTAATTATTAAAGTAGCTCTCAGTTCTACATATTAGGGATTAAGAACTTTACTTAATCTTAGATAATATCTCACATTTGTTAAATCATTTAAAACAGGATCAACAGTATCATTAAGGTACTTTGGCGATGTATTATGCAATACTTTATGCATTAAAATTAGTTTAATTTTTCCCTCCTATCAGCAAAGATTTCTCATCTCAATTCTTTATATAATTTATGGTGTGATGTTACTCTACGAAGCTTTGCTACTACTCTAGCAGCATCTTGTTGGACTGATTCTTTTAATATTTTTGATTTCTCACAGCATTTATCCCAAACTACATTAGCATAATTAAAATTGGTCTATGTATGATATGTATACGCAGTGTTAAGTGTACTTCTATCAAGTGAGGTTTTAAGCCTTCTTGACATATCAATTCTAACATACGCAGTATCATAAATATGTTTGATATGCAGACCAAATTTACCATCTTCACTAAAAGTAAGACCTAAATGTTTTTGGTTAGTACTGTCGGTTAGTTGTTGATTAGAGAAGAAAATGGGAGGGTAGATAGTTTCTTTTTCCGTGAGAAGATCATAGTTGTAGTTTTGGATGCATGAGCACAAGACATAAATTCTGCAAGCCATTAGTGAGATTTTGTGCTGCCTGAATAGGATTATCAACAATAATATAGAGGGTGGTGTCATCGACGACAAAACTAATGTTACTTTTATCTTCATTAGTTATATCATTTATAAAAAGGGGAAAGAGAAATGGACCAAAGACAGACCCCTGAGGGACTCCTGCACTGATACATTTAAAAGTTGACTGGTGTCCTTCTGTAATAACCCTTTGTTTTTTTCGGACAGGTCGTTCTTGAACTTTGCCAGTAATTTTCCTTTAATTCAATAAGTTTATAATTTATTTATTACACCGTCTTGTCAAACCCTATCAATAGTCTTACTAACATGACAGAGGACAAATCTTACCTATTTACCTTTATCTAAACTATTTACAATAGTGTGATAAATAGATAATAACTAATTCGCATTTGAGTTATCAGGCGGGAAGCCTGACTAGTGCTCAGTTATAGTTTTAGATGGTACAAGGTAGTTGTACAGGTACTTGAAGATAATTTTTCGTAATTCTTTTACTGAAGCAGGATGTAATTGAGATTGGCCTTTAATTACTGACGTCATTTTGGGACTCTTTACCCTTACATATAGCATTAACATTAGCAAATTTTCATAATGATGGGATATGTCCAAATTCCATCATTTTATTGAATAGTAATGTTAGTGGATATGATATTGAGTTATTGATATTGATATTGGTGTTAGTTTTTCACTTACTTTAGGTACTATTATATCAGGCCCTGCTGGTTTCTTATCATTTAGTAGATTGTATTGGTCGATTACATCTTGTTCAGATACATTTGTATCTAATTAAAAAAAAATATATATGTATAGTAGGTGGCAGTAGGTCAAGATTAGAAGAGGATGTTGCTAATAAGGTAAAGTAATCATTTAGTGTATTAGCTCTATCTGTAGGATGTTCGAGAGATACACAACTACAGTTGGGAGCAAACTTAACTTGGTTGCCTAGTGCACTGGAGTTAACAAGTAAAGTGGGCTCCAGATCACTAGCTTGTGCACTGGAGTTCACACTGAAGTGAACTGGAGTGCACATCGATGTGCACTGGAGTACACATCACTGTGCACTGGCGTTAACTACAGTTCACAAGGTAATTTATTTATCATATGATGTCTGGCCTTACCATCAGTTTATACATACTACGATTTTCTCCCCTTCCGTCTGCTCAATAAATCAATAAATTATTAGATGTTACCTATTCAAATACAATATTAAATGTTACCTATTCATATACTTAACATGATTTAAGCAGTATCCTTTTATGAAAATAGCATAATAACTATAAAGCGGGATGACCTATTCAAATATTATCACATGTACCGACATTGATCCATGGTACATTTATAAACAAGTATTGGTGGTTTAAAGTTTAAATACTTTGTCTTAAAGACATAATCACCATTGAAGTTCCTTCATAGTTATGACAGTAGTTTTACGTGTCAATTAAATATACAAATCTATCATTTGTACATAAAAGTGAGTCTTTTCTGTATGTTCATTTTGAAAAAGAAATGGAAAGTTTATGTGGTAACTACATGTACTGTATAAGAAAAAATACTATAAATATATGTATTGTCTCATTCCTGATAGGTAACAATGTACTGTAGTTACAGGAATGCAGTTCTGATTTGCAGGTAAATTTAACCTGTCTGAACCCTGTAGCTAATACAGGAGAAACTGGGGTTGAAATGCCCTGAGGGCGTGTGTATTACACAAGATAAAGGGTCTGATGTCAGAGTACATTAACGTCGTGATCAGAACACAGGGGCATATACACACCAGCTGTAGAAATTATGATTCTCTCTCTCTATCTCTGCAAACGGATGGTTGGAGGGTTCTGACGCACCAACGATATGTATGTTCAGGGGGATGTAATTTTTTTTTTCAATTGCCTCTTTGTAAATCAAGAAAACTCATACTTTCTTCAAAAAACATTAAAACAAATAATATTGATCCTATGAAGTGTGTAGTTTTCTAGTACGGAATTAGATGCTCTCTAAGTCTGTGTTTTTAGTAAGAAAATATATTTAACTACATGTCTACTATGAACATACTATTTTAAAACTTTAAAAATGTCTAAAAAAATAAAATGTGTATTATCCA